TTCACCTCAGACAGTTTGCTCCAGACAGACCATGAGGTAATTCATTCAAAGAAAAATATTTTCTCATAAAAATGGAATCTAGCTTGGCTATACACTGATAAGCACCTTATTACCAAAGGGTGGGGCTTATCTCACATAGCTTTCCCTTTCTAAGAATCAGACTCTTGTCTCACTTTGTCATTTAGATTGTCTCTCCCAACAATAAAAGACTGCCATCTTGAAAGGGAATTCACCATCCCTGTAGAGCAGGGAAACCTATTTCAGGGCAGGATGGACTATGATCTCCAAGTGTCTTTCTCTGTCCACCACAGAGTGAATAAGTCTTTATGTGACTTTATCAGAACACTCCTTAAACTATCATATTATATGAAACAAAAAAGACTGGACTGCATGAGAATAAGAAAAAATGATTGAACAGCTTCATGTCACAGGGCCAACACAACTGCCAAACAGAAATTGTTACTTCGATATGGGTTAGAAAGACTCATTAAAGGCAGGTAATAGCATGAAAATATTGACGGGTCTTGTAGATTACACATGATCAGAACCAAGTGGTTTCTTTTTGAAGAGAAATTTCCTATTTTCTTCAAAATTCAGAACCTCACTTTCCATATCTAGCCAGAAATTAGACCTGACTGTCCTTGTGCAGGAAGGGTTGGACTAGATGATCTTGAAAGGTCCCTTCCAACCTCAAGCATTCTGTGATTCTGTGACACAGACTTTCTGGTACTACCAGAGTAGAAACATCTAACAAATACCACATTTAAGGTTTGATATGTGAGCTATGTCAAAATTGCAGTGGGAAGTAATCTGGGGAAAATGTTATTAGAAAGAAGTATTTTTCTTTAAGATTTTTAAATGTAGTTTGGCTACTCTTAAATCAACTCACAATATTTCTTCCCTCACCAGAAATGGGAAAACTTGATCTTCAAAAATACTAAGATGTCTAGGTAATCACTAAAAATCCCGCTTAAAGAAATGAACTTCCATTTCTCATTAACATCATTTTATCTTCTACCAATCTGAAATCTGCTATCTAGACCTACAAAAGGTTTGGAAGAGCAAAGTCTTTTCTTTTCCTGAACAAATCACATCATTGTTCTTTGGATTTCAGCAAGCACTAAATAGATATGAATGTGTACACTTTAGAGGCACCCTGTATTTGGAAATAAACTCCTTCTGTTCCACAGTTATAATCATGTGGCTGCTAGAACTACATTTTTCTCCTTTAAAATGTTATCACAGCATGGAAGCAGCCACCTTTCCTTCCCACTTAAGTCCATTCAAAGCTGTGAGAAGCTCTGGACAGTCCCTTGCTTTTCTGCATGGTTCTGCCATGCCATACAGGGAATCTGTATTTCAGGTTAAACAATGTGGATGAGAAATGTGAAAACGCCCAAACAAACAAACATACAAACATCAACCATTCCTCCTACCCTCACCTCACTCAGGGAAATATCAAAAAGAATGGAAATAAAATCTTAATATTCTTGTAAAGCACCATCCTCAGAACCAAGTTTCAGGTTTCTCCCTTAAACTAACACACGAGAGCACCAGAAGCTTGTGAAATTTCCAGAGGKTTTGGGTGCAGTGCTTTGGAACAAGCAGTACCACAGGCAATTTTTCAGTCTCCTGCTCTACTCATACCCCTTACTTCCAGTCAGCTCCTGCTGACCGAATGGGCAACTGAACAGCCAGCAGTAAATGGGGACAACGGGGGGACAACTGGGGGACTCGCTTCCAAAGTGCACACCTCATCTCAGCTAAAACATTAACATAGATGCACCCAAAGAGCCTAGAACATGTTCTTGCACTAAAACCTCCAAAATTAAGGAGTACCAAGGTCATGAAGAGGTTTCCTTCTCTCCCAATTAAAAGGACTCACAGCTTCAAATGCATTTCACACGTGTGCAGCAGCTTACTGGGAAGACGAGTTCTCCAGCAGCAGCTCCTGTGTTCCCAGCTYCAAAGACCCGCATTCCCCAGCTATGCAACCCTTGTTACCTTCAGGATCTTTATTCAGTTAGTTCTCCACATTTGGAAAGGTTTTCTGTGTGGCTGAATATTGTATTTTCAGAAGAGTTCATCAATCTTCACTGTATTCTCTCCCAACAAGGGCCTTCTTTCCCTTGACAGCTTTACAAGGTGCACACGACTGCACTGCAAAGATAACCGGCTGTCTCCTGTGCTTCTGTTAAATTGGGTTCCTGGCCCTCTTCACTTGGCTTGCCCTCTCCCTCCCCCTTCCCCGGTTTCATGCTAGTCAGAAAGATTTAGTTCTCATCTAAAATATCATATATAATAAATGCATTGCAAGTCACAAACATTAAATGCTTAATTTGAACCGGCAGAAAGACCAGCTACCGGAATTCTACAGTGGTCTGTTAGCTCGTACGTCTCTGCATGGGCATATTGAAGGAAACAGCAGAAATAATACTTTACAATTTGATGAACAACATATGACACAGAACCTCTGGACTCGCAAAAGGGCTACAAACTTGGAAAAATACCCGTGACATAAAATTCTGCCCTCTCCACGAATCTACGCGCTCCTTAACTGATAAAGAGCTGTTATCATTAACACTAGATGTATAAATACATGGGATTAAGAAAGAAACTAATGACTAAAAATGTGAATGAGGTTTGGGTAATAAAAAGGGTTGGATGTTACAACACAAAGGACAGTATCATGCCATCTGCTTTTGTGTAAAATCCTTCCTTGATGTCAACTATAAGCTTGGCTTATAACCCGCAGGCACCATAATGGCTCATACAAATTTAACATTATTTCTTTCTCGAGAAATATCTAGTATCACCCTCCATTTCATCAGGTACATAGGAAGAATCCTCCATTTCAATTTGGACTGGAAAKAGAATAAAAGGAATGGAAAAAATGGCATGTATCATTGGCATGATCCTCAGAGTTATCTCAACTGCAAGCTGCAGGCATGAGTATTACCTGTGAATAACCCACGAAGCAACCACACTATTGGAATAACAGAGAGAATATTGAAATAATAAGACTGTGCCACCAACAGGCACTGCAGGAAGTGTTAGCAAGTTTAAAAGTAAGCCTTAGTGTCAAAGAAATAAGGGAACCTGTTAAAAATACGTCTCATGACGAAGCAGTGTCAATGTCTCTTAGCTAATCAGTAATTTCCATTCCCGCAAYTCAGATTCTTCACCCAACAAATAGACTATATTGAACTTAATGCTCCACTGAGACTGCCTATTCTTTCTTCCCCATATAAGATATAAATCTAGAAGGGAAGTATGCTGGCCTAAAACCACCCCGATTATTATACTTAGTCCTTTTCACTGAAAACTCATTTAAATTTCTGACTATGAGTGTTTGGAAGAGAAAATCGTCTAACATTTCAAACAGCTACATATTCCCTTTGCACAGAGCTATTCAGCATCCATGGCTGGGTGGCTATTCCTAAGGCAGTGGGGATGGCTTGACTGTTATAAATGACTCTCATAAAAGAGCTATTTCTGCTGCTTCCTCTGGGACTGCACCTAAGGTGAGGAACAAGCAAGTAACACTTTGCATCCACATGTGCAGGTTCAGACCCTCTCGGGAGGAAGCAGACGATGATTGATCCGTGTTTTACTACGCTTTGCAGTYGTCTTCTGCTGGCTGCCTCGAGGACATTGCCTTGCCTGCACAGACACGTTCGGATAAGCCACCAAGTTTCCTAACACCGATGGGTTTCTTCACCTGGCTGATTTAAAAAACACAGCCATAAACATTACCTCTGGTATGGGACAGTGTGCTTTGCTCCACAGACCTAGGAGAAATTTCCTGGACAACACTACACAACTAATTCTTAAAGTGGCTGCTGAAGTCACCTCTCCTCTCCAGGGCTTAGCTGCCCACACTCTGGGGAGCCCTGGGAAGCAGCTCGTTTGATAACAGTGCTAGCACCTAGGCCAAAAAAATGAACAAAAGGGGGGAAAATGGCAGGGCTGCAAAACAGATAGAGTGGGTAAAATAAAATATAGGGGGGAAATTAGATGGGGAGGCAAAACAAAARGAAATTTAAAGAAAAATGTTGCATAGAAAATGGGAAAGGGAACTAGGGAAGGAAAAGCAGAAATGTTAACTTATGATGGAGCAAATGGCCGCACCTTTCACATCTTCTAACACCCCACTGGGTTATTCAAGGGGCATCCCCTCACGTTTCCTTTGCAAGTGTCTGCATAAGGGGAGGACATACGAAGGASAAGGGTGAAAGGCAGGCTCTCAGCAGCTGGAATCATCGGGGAGACCACAGAATTTCAGGTGTCTGAGAGCAAAATCTTTGTATGGACAAAGATTCAGATGTGTTTGCAAAAACACATTTGTGTGACACATCTACAAACTCAACAGACAGGGAAAGAAGAAACTCCAAATGAAACATATTGCCACTTGGCACAACAGTGTGAGGCATGAAGGTGGCCCAGAAGGGGAAAARAAGACAAAAAATATTTAGGTGCAAATATACAACAGTTCATTTTTGYTTTTTCAGTGTTTTTTAGGAGAAATACACTGCATTTCCAGGCGACGTGGAACAAATAGATTTTGCTTTTCAAGCTTTATCTTGTACACACTACATTTGAACGTTATCACCTCTCCTAACCACCTTCTGAAGTCTGATAGTGCCCCTTTAACCTTTGTTACTCAGTTACTGAGCGAGTTATCTCACTGGTACTCTTTTTTTTGAAGAAAGAGTCCTGCCTCTTTTCATGCTGATAAGAGACACATAAATACTCACTCCCAGCAAACATTTAATAGTAAAATGTCTTGAGCAAACTGCCAGAGTCTAAAGGTAGGAAGCTGCCGTTAACTTTGCTGCTATCTTAACCCTTTAGTTAAGCTACCAGAACAGACAGAAGAGATCAATGTTCTTTCTTACAAATGAAGCAGAAACAAGCATTCTCTTAAAGAACAGACTTAAAACATGCTTTATAACATGAAAAAAATATATATATCAAATGATTGGAAGTGGAATATCTACCCATTTTCTAGGCCGGCCTCTGGGTCGCTTCTCGCCAGTTGCTTCTGCTTTCTGCAAAGGGAAAAGAAATACAACATATTTTACACTRCAACTTTATTTTAAAGCCTTGGTAACTAGGAGTCCTTTCCTGTAACATTATCCATAATATCCATAATATAACAATATCCATATCCATTTCTCAGGTGGCTTCTAACTTGTTTGGATCTTCTGSTTTTTTGGAGCAGGGAACGTGATTATGTTCCATGTGCCAGGGCAGAGAGGGATGTATGGACACCTTGGCAGGGCAGACTGGGGTCTCATGATGCTCAGTCATCAAATGGATTTGAACTGCTGTCGCCATAAACATAAGATTATTCATATTTGGAGGTCATTTTCTATTTTATGTGACGTTTTCCAGGCAAAAGCACATCCTTAAGCTCTAGGGGAAGCTCTGGCTGTTCAAAAATATGCCTTCCCTTTTCAGGTTTGAGGAAACAGCATGGAAGGTGCCCTAAATGACAGCTATAYTGATATAAGCACAGCAGTTGGTCCTGGAGCTCTGGAGCTCAACTTAAAGGAAATGCGTGTTTTGCTAAGGACTCTTCCATTAATTCCTTGTATGACACTGTGAAAAAATACTACTTAAACGCTACAGCAAAACACTGACAGGCTTCTAAATGCAAATTGCAGGTTATTTTCCCCAGACAGGCTCTGCCTGTACGTATACCTACCTATACATCTCAGGTCAATAACCCTGCCCCACCGAGGATGACAAAAATTTTGCCACCAGCTCAAGTGAGATCCAGACTCGTGCTGCATACGAAGTCCCTCAGAATTAAATTTTTCTCTACACTTTCTGCAAATGCATTTCCACATTTCCAAGACTTCCTTCTTTCCAGCTAACTGTACGTGTACTTGATTTTCCCTTAGAAATCAACTGTCTCATTAAATAAATCACTTGGTCAACCTCTGTAACATACACTGTAACCCTATGCTGTGTAAAGTGGATCCCTCTAAAAGAGAACTTGAGCTGAAGAAGCAGTGGATGAATCTCTACAGAAAGACTGCACTGCAAGTTCAGTGAAATTACTTTGAAATAAATATCTCGCCAAGAAGAGAGCTGTGAAAAAAGTAAAATTCACACTCCTGAAGGGCAAAATTATCACTCAGACTTGTTAAAAGAGTAAACCTGCTCTTTAATAGTTTATACCAGTGCTACATGTAAGGTGAAACCCTCTTATGAGAATACTTGTTAAAGTCCATTTGCTATACGTTGTAGCCGTCTATTTCAGCGTTTTGATTCCTTTTAATGTGTTCTTTTTTTAGACCATATAGCCTGAAGGATGCAGAGAAAGGATGTGTTTCAGTTTGGAAAATGTGCAGTTCCTTGCACTGAGGTTTATTTCAGAAACTACAGAGGGCACATATCCTCAAAGAAAGTATTAGTTGAACTTCTTCCTAGCAAATCAGTAGCTGACATGTTATTAAGCACAAACATGCATTTTCTTCTGCATTTTAGCACATTTGACAGAAATCAGTCCATTCATAGAAATTATAGTCTATACAAACAAATAAAAGAAAAAGCATTTTTTTTTGAAACTAATTCAGTCTCACAATGAAAGTTCCTGAAAACATGACACAAATCCTAAGTTTAACTGGAGCACCTAATACAGTTGGATGGGAAGGCGAACACGGGAGATTTCTTTGACTAACTAATCTTTGTTTCCTGTCATAAACTGTCACGCAGGATGGCCGCTTGCCATTAGCGATGCTTTGCCCCAGGGGAAGGACCATGTCAGAAGTGGCTAGTGTTCCCGCTGGATAGTTCGTGTACCAGACTGTCAAGTGCTTGGGGACCCTCCAGATTGAAAGGCACTATATTCCTGCTGTATAAGATTTCCACCTCATGTTMGAAGAAAAACATTTCCCCAGTTCTTATCAAAACCAAATCTTTCCCTGAGGTGAGCTGAGCAAACAGCAGGGCATGCCAGCTACTATGTTTTGGTACAGAGAGATTCGGTAAGTAAATAGGAGGGTTTCCACAGACTAAATTGCAAAAAAAAATGAATGACAAGAACCTCCAAAGTGGACGTTTTTATCTCCATTCTACAGGAGGAGAAAGACAAAACACTTAGGGAGCAACTGAGAAGGAGCACTGGCAGTCCAGTGGTGATAATAAAGACATGAAGCTTAAAAAAAATATTTTACTCCGTTTCATTTGGATTTATTTTAGATTTTGCAAACATAGGCCCTATTTCCTCCAAAAGCACAGGACTGCCTTGTGGTTTAAGTACTAGAAGGTATGTTTTACTGTTCATCAGACAAAATCATTAAATGTTTCTCCATGCAACTTTCATGCAACTCCTAAGAAAGGGTAAGTCCCAAAGCGGTGGTTTTCCACTTAAACAGATATTTACATCACTGAAAGCAGGCTGGTCTGCTGGTTTTTTGCTTTAATCAAAGTGCTGCCTCTGAAGCTGGAGAGAGCCCCAAGCTACCCAGAGATAAGAATGGGTCTTATTTGGGTAGCAGGACGCAAGTTTTCTCAGGCACCCTACGCACAGCAGCTCTCAAGTGCTTTGGCTAAAAGGAAGCTGCTGCCTTAATCCTCTAAGGCAATTTTTGAAAGCGAGATGTGTTTGCTCAGCATTTTCTTAACATTTGATGCTGCACTGGAAGGCAGGAGCTTATTTTGAAAGACTAAATGTCCACTTGCACAAAATGACCAAACGTAAAGGAGGGCTGGGTCAAACACACTTTTATGGTACTTCATGAAAAATTCTAGGATTTCCTATGAACAATAACAAGATCTTTTTTTTTACTATGTCATATTTTAGAACAGAATTAGATGTAGCTGCTTTTAAGTACACGATCTATACAGAAAATGGTACTTTTGTCTTGGGTGAGAACGATGACTGTTTCTCACCGAGGAGAGTGACCAGGCAGGTTTGCAACTCACTAAGCCCTGTACCACGAGGCCACCAAATGCTGCTTCCAAAGCATTTGGAAAGGCAGTCAGCAAAGGCAGTACCTGACTGCCCATCATCTCTGCCTCCTTGTTGCATAAAGGTGCCATGCCCAGACAGGCACCGGAGCTGCACAGCCGAAGGCAATTAACCAGACAAGACAAGTATGAATAATTGAACGGCTATAAAGTGCTCTCTGGGCATCCATCTATTGTCCAGGAGGATGGCAAATGCAACAGAATCCAAATTTGGGGAACTCGATCCACTTTGCAAAGTGATCTGCTGGGGACCTCAGATAAAATGTGTCGTAGGTGTAAGTCAGGTGAAGGAACCAGTAGTCCTCAGAGCAAAGACCACTGCTGTGAGGCCATGTCAAAAGAATCTGCATAGGAAGGTGGCCCTCTTCTAAAAAATAAAGTTATTTTGTTTAAAAAGAAAAAGTCTTAGAAGAAACTTCAGTATTGGCTAGATAAAAAAAATGCATCTTCCATGTTCTGTTTTACCAGTTGTAACCCTAAGCAGGAGCCAATCTTGTGCTTCTCACATCTTTCTCAAAACATCTCGTGTGGGCTCTTCCTTTCCAGGTACAATAACCACGCTATGGCATTGGTTATAACCAATCCTATTTTCCCTTTAAGCCTGTTATGATTAGTGTGGGTGAGAATGAATGAAGCAGAGAGAAGCCAAACAGATTTTCGTGAACCAATGTAGGGCACAGTCCTAATCACGTGCATCTTTTTTTCGTGAACCAATGTAGGGCACAGTCCTAATCACGTGCATCTTTTTTAAAAAAAAAAAAAAAAAAAAAACCTTTGGACTGCTTAACTCAAGAGTCCTGCCTTTCTACATGCCAACCTCTGGCCACGTAACAGAGGAACAGTAGTAGATGCACTCACACATAGAACCACAAGTCCTGGTTTTCACAGCTTCCAGTTGCCCCGACCTGGCTATATTTTAAGTTTTTTACTACATCAAGAATAAATAACTACCTTAAATTCAGCAATACTCAAAATCCTTTAATTGCCAGTGAACTTTACTGAAGAGGCTGCACTATATTTAAGGGTTATCCCCTTGACACAAACATGCAGTAATTAATAATACTTTTTTTATCCTCATAATTGTGTTCCTTCCGAGCAGGACAGCAGTTAGGCCTATACGATACTTTTATCGAACACAATTACAGGACCTAAACAAAGACAAACCTTTGAATACAGAGGGGAAATGAGACAGGCTGCAAACACAGCTTAGCCTGACAGATAAAACTCAGCCACAGAACCCCCAGGAAACTGGGAAAGGAACATCCCTGCTATCAGCTTTCTGCGCAACTAAAGCTGGTCCCTAGGAAAAAAAAAACACTTCACTTTCCTGCTAATTTTTTACAAATATTTTAAATGAGTAACAGCATGACTTGTCCAAAGGCACAGACTTCAGTAGCAACCTAATTGTGGAGAAAAAGCCTCAAGCATGAGGTGCTTGCAGTCATTTTGCAGAAGGAGTCTATCGCCTGCTGCCTACTAGCATGTTGTGTTCATTCTGCTTGTGAAAATTAAACAATTGAGAAATTATTTGTTTTACTATAAAATGCAGGCTTACCTTTTAAGTGCATTTCATAACAGGTTAGACAGCTATGATATGCACGTTCTTTTTTATGTGCATTACCCRAAATTAGAGTAATTATTAGCTGTCCAATTGGTCTTGCAACATTCTGTGCGCATTGTCAAGTTTCACATTGCTAATTTCCTAACAAGCACAGTTTGTTTTCAAATGCCCCAAGGCCAGTTTACTAAGACCAAACACAAGCTCCGAAATTCAAAAAAAAAAAAAAAAAATCAAGAAAATTCAATGCACAACACAATCATCTAGGGCCATTTGTCCCCCAACCAATTTGAAAGTATTTACTTTTTCAAGTATAACTAAACAAAGTCCCGGGGCTCGTGTGGGTCTTACACCACCTTGCATGTTTGTGTAATACATTTTTAATTGTGATGTGTAATGGGCTGCAAGAGAACACCCCATCAATTAATCACGAGTGCCTTCCATGGGCGCTCTGGGGCTGCTAGTGGCGCGCCCGCTTATCCCTTAAGCGTGTCGTGAACCCTGGAGCACACTGCAAGGAGCTCACGTTGGAAAACAGAGGCCACGCGGTGTTCCTCGGAAATACCAGCAGCTTCCAGTGGCATCCATAGCCCCCAGGTTCACACAGACAGAGGCTTAAGCAAGGTCAGCCTACTGTACTTCTGAGAGTTAGGACAGGGTGTAGAAAGCTTTAAATAAATATATATATATATATGTACACGTCTGTGTAAATGTGTTTACCAGAAAATCAAACATAGTTCACTTCTTTTAAGAGCTGACACCTTCACCATCAAATGAAGCTTCCTTACAGGGGCAAAGCCTTTCAGTTCACATTGCTGCTAGCTACACTGTCAAAATTAAAATTACATAAAAAAACTTTTCAGATGTCAAGTGAGAAGCTGGACCATTTTAGAGAAGATTAATTACCTATTTTGGAAAAGAGTTAAAATCTCTCCAAAATATGATCTCAAGGACTTCTTTTCTGAAATACTTAAGAATTGTTTTATGTTTGAGTTATTTGATAACTCTTCTAATAATATAATAACGCATATTTAATCTATAAACCTAGGAAAAAAAATAAGACTTTTAATTTAGTAACTACCAAAGACTTCTTTATGATAAAAAGGACAGACTGCCTTTGGTCRAGTTTTTATATCACAAGTACCCAAGAGAGTTTGCTCTAATTAGAGGACTAATTTCATGCACTCAGAAAACCAAAATGTTGCAATGAAATTGTTCACAGTTAGTAACTTGGATTAAAAAACAACTATATGCACCACTATCATGGGAACCACTAGATTTGATATATCCACATACATGAATGATTAAGTTACTTTCCATTTATACTAATTTTCAAATCACTCAACTAAATGAATAAGTGTTATTATTTTGTAGAAATATCTTTTGAAAATACATTTTTATGAATTACTTAAAATTTAATCTTACTACAAATATTTCTTCTAGGAAAGCCAACACTCCTAAGAGTAATATTTAAAATACTAAAGCTCACATTTGGACTTGCTAGACTAATAAAAAATTGCTCTCTCTCTCTCTCTCTCTCTTTTGAAGATTGAAATTTAAGCTATTTTAAAGTGAATCTGAGGAACATTTTTATTATAGTTTAAAAAAAAATCAACATTTTAAGCTCACTAGGTTGCAGAGTGGCTTTGACACATTTAAAGTACTTGTAAAGCATTTTTTAAACTAAATTATGAACTTTTTGACAGAATATGCTAGGATTTTTTTTCAGTTCAGAAATTAAAAAACAATTGTACATTTAAAGAGAGTTTGAAAACATCCGTCAAACAAATGCTGAAAACACTTAAAACAAAACACACATGAAACCTCTAATAATTTGATATTTATCAGTAGTTGTTATAGTCATTTGTAACACAAAAATATCAWACTGAAATGATCAGTGCCATAGGGATACTGAGAAATTTACCATCATTAGATGAGGCCATTTTGCCATACAACTGCTTAAAAGATGCTGATACACTTAAGCTTCACTCCCAGAATTTGTAAGCTTTTGTTTTCAATTTAGTACCTGTAAATTAGTGGTAACTGTTGTGTAACCATCTACATAAACAAAACTCCTGTGTTTATTTTCAAGCCTATTTGCTTCCACTAAAATTATTCATATAGAAAGGTTTTATTTCCCTTCTTAGTACAATTCTCCAATGCTGAGCCTCTCTAAATTTGAATAAAATTGRATCACTGGGTAAAATGTGTATGTGATTTCAGGTCCATGCACTAAATGGAATGACTTCTGTGAGTTTGTGCTATTGCTGAGGGTATTTAAAACCACCAGAATTAAAATTTGCCACGATCATCAACAGAAATAAGAGTTCAGAAGACTGAAAKCATTTTAAGAAAAAGTCACTTTGAAGCTGATTAGTAAACAATCTATAGTAGGCTTTTACTGTAATTCACTATCATCATATTTCTAAGCTGTAAATTTCAAATAAATGCAGTTATTTCCATCAACACATAATTGAATTTGCTTCTCATTAATGCACGTTTTACAAAACACTTTGCTTTAATATACAGATTTGGTCTGTAGTAGAAAAATGTGTAAGTAGGCAAGAAATTAACCTTCTTCTTTCAAGAATCTTAAAACAGGAAAATAAAATTCTTACTATTGATCTCCCCACTATATGCAGTAGATTTCAGAAAATGCATCATGCTATTTCACCAATTTGCACAATATTCAAAMAGTAAGCTACCCTTAAGAGTTTCTGTACCCAAGGTCTTCCTGCAGAATGTTATTTCTACTCTTAAAAATATGCAGATGTGGCTTCCATAATTAAAAAGCTTCAAACTCCACAGTTCACAGCCCAAATAACTGGAATATTTGATATTAGTTGATGAAAAAATATATAACATCAGAAATTCTCTTTAATAATCTCACCTTCTGAGCTGCTTTGGAGGGACTCTTGTTTTTGCTTCCTTTAGGTCTTCCTCTTGGTCTTTTAGGAGATGGTTCACCAGTTGGTTCCTAAATACAGGAAAACATGCTATTGTAGCAAGAAACTACAACTACCCAAGAAGATTTGAAGAAGCTAGAACCGATCAGTATGAATAAATACTATAAATGGCTAAAACAAAATGCAAAATTCAACATGGAAGAGAAAACAACTTCAAGTAAAGAAAAAAGTCTACTTTGTATATTAAAAGAGAGCTTGATTTCTCTTAAAATTGCATTAAAAGAAAAAAAAAAGAAAAAAGTGAAAAGTTTGCATAATCCAATATGTAAATTATACCCCAAAACACTTTTTCCAAGAAGATGCCTATGGAACCTCTCACGTAAGAATGACTACTCAAAATTTAGTAGTTACCTATTTAATTTCCATTAAATTTCATTATAATAAAACACAATTGTCAGATGCAGCTTCCAGCAAATATTTTTGGAAAAAAAAAATTTACTACCAGGAAATTGGAAAATGAACTACATTACTTTTTCTCTCCAGGGTATGAATATTTTGGGGACTGTTGTTCTAAGTATGCATTATATTCACACCTATTCCAAATACAATCGATTTGAATTAAAATGTAGAAATGTAGACTTTGCTTCCAAAAGAGCACTAGCAAGCAAAATAAATACTAATCTAAAAAAAAAAAAAAATCTTAAGGAGCAAAATATCTGAAACAAACACCAAAACTCACGCAACTCCACAGGAACAATGATTGTCTGAGCAGTTTTCTTAACCAGTTCCTCCGCACAACCAGCCCTTTCCAAATGGGCATGAATTACCAAGAGTTCAGATTCCAAATATTTATTCAGTGAATCACAAATACTATAAAACTCTTCTCATCTTAAATATTATACATTTCATTCGGATTACAGGATGTGGTAAAACTAATTAAATGCAGTTTGTTAACTTAAACCAGCTTAAAACCTTCCAGCCCCTTAGTGGCCGGGTCGGGTCTGGGGAGGCTGCCGAGGGGAGTCCCTGGCAGCTCCCGCTGCCCTGCCCGGCTGCGCTGCTCCTGCCCAGGGAGACGCGGGTTGTTTCCCTTCCACGCACTCAAATACGAATTGGGACCGAAAAATAAAAGGAAAAACTCAAAATAAGTGCAAACAGGGCGGAGGGGAAAGCGGAGGGCGGCTGCTGGGAGTGATGCTCGGGCTGGCACCCGGCGGAGCGGGCAGGGCGCGAGGCACAAAGCCGGGCTGCTCGGGCGGACTAGGTGTCACTCGGCGCGGGGACACGCGGGGGCTCCGCTCCGCTGCCGCTCCGCGCCGCGGGCCCTCCCGGAGGGGGCCGGAGGCTCCGCGGCCCGCGCTGCTGCTCCGCCGGCCTCGCGGCCCCTCCTGCGGGCTCCTGCCGGCCCGCGCTGCCGCTCAATGAATGGAGCGCGCGTTTGTCCCGGCAGCCCTGCCCGTGCCGGCAGCTGCCGCGGCCGCGCAGCCCCGCCGCAAACCTGCGCGCTTAATTGGTTGCATCCGCAGGCCAAATTCCCCCCTCGCCGCCTGCGAGGGGCTGCCGGGGGCTCCCTGCCCCCCCTCTTTCCCCTCCTCCCCCCTGTGCCCCCCCCCCCGGGCAGGAGCAGCCCCGCATTTCCCGGCTAGGCGACAGTGGCCCTTGGGGAAGGGGGCGGGGGGCACCAATCTAGCACCCCCAGCGCGGGCTTCGCTCTCGCAAGTCACCCGGCGCGTCCCTCTGGGCGCCGGCAGCGGGGGGGCGGCCGGCAACAAGTCCCGTCCCCCCCCCAAACCTGCCCGGCAAAGCGAAAGGTGTCGCAAAAGGCCGGGCGAGCCCCCCGCGGCCACCCCCCCCCGCCCGCGGCCGCAGCGGGGGC